GGGGGGGGGGGATCAGGACAAATATATCAGCTCTAGGGGGGCCCTGCCAAAAAAAGTCAGAATACCACTGCTGTAAAACATCATATTTACACTTATACTCACAGACCCAAGTTACACACACCCACATACCATATCTACAGTGTACTCCATGTTTGGGGCAAATACACATTTTCCTTTGATTCACCTCTCTGCTGCAGTTTAAAATTTCAAATCAAACAATTCAGATATGATTAAAATGCACATTCCAGACTTAAAAGTCATTTGCATACATTTCGGTTTCACCCTGTAGAAATGACAACACTTTTCATAGTCCTCCTCATATCAGGGCACCTCATAGCAGGGTGCTATGGCTGGGGCATGATTGGCTGCCACAGGCACACTCATCTACACTGATGATGTAACTGCTGAAAGCAGTCGCACGATGAATTCTGAGGTGTGTAGAAACATCTTATCTGCTCAAGTTCCACTAAATGCCTCGAAACTTATCGAATGCCACTTCATCCTGCAACAAGATAATGATCCCGAACATACTGCTAAGGCAACATGGGAGTTTAAAAAATGGAAAATTCTGGAATGACCAAGCCAGTCACCAGCTGAGCATGCCTTCCACATGCTGAGGAGGAATCGTAAAGGGACAAGCCCCCGAAGCAGGCAGGAGCTGAAGGTGGCTTCATTAGAGGTCAGCAGCGCATCACCAGGGAACATACTCTGCACCTGGAGATGCCTATGAAACATGACAGCTTTAATATACATACCACTGCTATATCCAAAACAATATGCTGTCCTGAGGGGAACTATAAAAAGTGTTAGAATTTCTGCATGGTGAAACCGAAATGTATGCAAATAACTTTATATTAAAGTCTGCAATGTGCACTTTAATCACATCTGAATTGTTTGATTTGAAATTTTAAGCTGTGGAGTAGTAGGGTAAATGAATTAACGTTGTCCCAAACATTATGGAAGACTGTGTGTGTATGTGTGTGTGTGTGAGACAGAGAGAGAGCGAGAGAGAGAGCCAGCAGTGTTGCAATGCTACTCAGTACCTTTATCTCCATGTTTTAAAGTCATTTCATTTTTTCTTTTTTGGAAATCTTGCAGCTTAATGACATCTTCTGAAAGAAGAGATCTCTTGGCTGAAATTTAAATAGCATTTTTTAAAAGCCCATTTGATTAAAAAAAAATCTGTAAACACTGTGAGACAAATGAACATGCAACACCACCAAGAACAAATTCAATTCTTACTTCAAAGTTTAAGCAATTCTAAAACCATACATGACAGCACACGCGCGCTGTCCAAAACTGGAAACCTGGCCGCATACAAACAATTTATTGAGAGAGGTAGCAAGTAACAACATTAACTGCGAGTGCAGTAAGAATATATATCATAATAGGCAGTTAAGCAATTGTACCGTACAACTAGCAACTCCATGATTTAGATGATTACTCTAGCTGCATTTTAGCAACTGAACAGGTCATTTGAAAAACGTCACAGAAAAAAACATATAAATCACTGACCTCCTAACCTGCACCTCCAGCAGTCTGACTGTTTGATATTACATATCATAACCTTTAACTTTGCACCATGCAGAAACATTCTGGTACAGCTACTCGTTGAGGCAAACGCCATAACGTCCCTAGACTGTACTAAGTCACGAGGAGTTTGTAAGAATTTTAAATATTTAAATAGCAATATTTTTAGAATAAAACTTTGAAATATATGTTCCACAATATGATAAAATTCAAAAATGCATATAAATTCCACATAAAATGCTGTAATATTAGCAACATGAAGTTATTTACGGTTACTGTACACCCCTAAAAGATGTAAATGTGGTGTATTCCAAAATGGCAACCTCCATGTGTTGTGTTGTACATTAATACGGTGCAGATGGAATAGTGTTTGGTAGTGATTGCAAAGACGATTAAGTTTTGAAGTGTTCCGTTTTGACATTTATTAAATGTTTTACATTTTGATATTAAATAAGAAGGATATAACAGAAAATGGGATATCTAAACAATTAATTCGGAGAATGATTTTTTTCAAAACATTACATTAAGATGACACCTGGTGGTCAAATGGTGATCAACAGTGGCTTGGAGAAACCTGTAAAAATGGATGTGGCACTTTAAAATAAATATTCAATAAACATTGATTTGATGTCGTCACGTTGTTAATTCATTGAACGCTATTGATAATATAGGCCTACGTTTTCCGTGTTGTTATTATGATTAGTGAAGAGAGTGCTAGTGAAGTGAGCTTGAGGAATGATCAAGCATTTTTTAAGAAGAGAAATCTGTTCAACTATACTCAGCAAAAAAAGAAACGTCCCTTTTTCAGGACTGTATTTCAACAATAATGTTGTAAAAATCCAAATAACTTTACAGATCTTCATTGTAAAGGGTTTAAACAATGTTTTCCATGCATGTTCAATTAACCATAATCAATTAATTAACATGCACCTGTGGAATGGTCGTTAAGACCTTAACAGCTTACAGAAAGTAGGCATTTAAGGTCACAGTTCTAAAAACGCAGGACACTAAAGAGACTTGTCTACCGACTGTGAAAAACACCCAAAGAAAGATGCCCAGGGTCCCTGCTCATCTGCGTGAACGTGCATTAGGCATGTTGCAGGGAGGCATGAGGACTGCTGATGTGGCTAGGGCAATAAATTGCCATGTCCGCACTGTGAGACGCCTAAGACAGCGCTACAGGGAGACAGGAAGGACAGCTGATCATCCTCGCAGTGGAAGACCACGTGTAACAACACCTGCACAGGATCGGTACACGCGAATATCACACCTGCGTGACAGGTACAGGATGGCCACAACAACTGCCCGAGTCACACCAGGAACACACAATCCCTCCATCAGTGCTCAGACTGTCCGCAATAGGCTGAGCGAGGCTGGACTGAGGGCTTGTGTGTTCCTGGTGTGACTCGGGCAGTTGTTGTGGCCATCCTGTACCTGTCACGTAGGTGTGATATTTGGATGTGCATGTTAATTAATTGATTATGGTTAATTGAACATGCATGGAAAACATTGTTTAGACCCTGTACAATGAAGATCTGTAAAGTTATTTGGATTTTTGCAACATTATTGTTGAAATACACAGTCCTGAAAAAGGGACGTTTATTTTTTTGCTGAGTATATATTTTCTACCTCAAACGTATGCTAATCACACTCAGAACATCTCCTGCCTTGTAGAATACTAATAAGGCACTAAAGTTTCTGGAAAAGAGAGATATGTATTTGCTAACTGGAACAGATGTGATAATATTGCAGAGTGAGTAGCCCAGTAATCTAGTGGGCCATCTACACTAGACAGATATGGGGTTGAGTGATACAATTAAACCACTGAAGTGGCATCAGCAGAGATACTATGACCAAGGATTGTTTCAGCCACTCTGCTATCAAAAAAAGTCACAGAGTCTGTTTTCATTATCTTCACCAGTCTAAGATGCTCTAGCTGCTGAGGTTTATGGCTGACAGGGTCTGGCCTGTGGAAAGTTGAATGAATGAGAGCACAGCACTCAGATGTTAAACACTTCTCTGAACTTCCAAAAATGATAACTTTGAATCTGGGATTCAATAATGCTGCTGCTGCAATGACCCTCACAGCCTGTACCTTACTGTCCCTCACATTCCTCTGAAGATTATTGCATTACTGTAGTGAAGTTGGGTTTCCTCACTTTTGGATCTTTTCTTTTGAAGTTTATGATGAAGCATCCTGACTAGAGGAATGATTTTTGAGGCAGAACCTCCTCTTTATGACTGACAGTTTAACTGGCTTGATTTAAGACAGTGAGAACCTGAAGGTACTCTGGCTGTTTTATGGTGGTCACTATTTAATGCAGTTATAGGGGCCCAGCACTTGATAAGGGCTTATGAATATGTAAAATTATACATAAAATTGGGCAGGGGGCCCAAGGTGACATTTTGTCTGAGGGCTCAGAATATCTAGGTATATCCCTGTATGGCATATTTGTAAAAGTTGCTGAGATATTGTGAGCATGGTCAATGACAGAACATGTGACCTCTTCATCTAATCCTCATGTGTCTAGAAATGCACTCTTACTCTCCCTTGTGAGCTCAGCTGTGTGCATCTCAAGGAATTTTCATGCCTCCTCGAGAGCTGCCTGTCAATAAAATTAGTTAGGCTTCAATGTTTCCAAAGGTCAACGTATCTGATATTACACTTGCTTTCAAAACCTCTGCCATTGCTTTGTCCTTGCTCTCTTGATACAATGAATTTACCATCGTCTTCAGGGCATTTCTGGATGGAAGGATGTAATTGAGGTCAAGTTTCTGAACAGCTTTTTGGAAACTTTTCATCTTCCATAATAGAATATGGTTGTTAGTACATTAGAATTAGGTCAATTACAGGTCCTCTAGCCCCTTTAAGCTTATTGTTGGGAAGTAACTATAAATTTTAATATACATAAAACTGTAATTAAATATGCATCAAATGTACCATATGGTATATAGAACATAGGTATGCCATTGGATCAGGTTGTGTTGTTCTAGTCCTCAAGGAGCCTGGATGTTTTGCCTGGAGGTGCCACCACATTCTCCTTGTATTATTACAATATGACAGATGTTGCTGGCAAAGCAAGCATTTTACTCGCTTTCCCACAACAACTTCAAAGTGACCCCATACATCTCAACACAACAAAAGACAAAGGGTTGGGACCCAAGAGCACAGTTTATTTTACAAATCCAAAGCACTACTTCAAAATCAAGGTCATTGTTCAGGCTGAGGTTAAACCGGTAAGTAATGGGAAAAATGGAAATTACTCGGATACATGAAAAAAGACTGGTAATAACATGGCTTGGTGCAAGACACTCAAGAGCTTGAAGTAAGACTTTGCAAAGAGCTGTGGTTTACACAGGCTTTATATAACTCTGATGTGCGGCAAAGTAAGTGATGTTAGGTAGTACAAGACTGGGTGATATAAATTTTATATTGACTTATCGTCATATAAACTTTAAACGATAAGATGAATAAACTTCATATACACAATACGCACCATTGGAGGATAGCACGCATCACAGAAACAAATGCAATTTATTGTAGTCTTTTAAGAACAGACAGCTTATGCCCAACAAACTCACAGTAAGTTTGGTTGAGTTGGTGGACACCATATGGTATGGCTAAAATTTTAGAAACACTTCCAGTTTTTAGACATTGCAGAACTTTATTCTAGTTTCTCTAGTTACTTATTTAATCATCCAATGTATAACATTTGTAGCATTCATTGACTGTTTATAAACATTACAGCCAGTAACCATGTAGTACTTTTAAAGCACAATGCCAAAAATGCTAGGTGTTCCGACAATTTTGACCACTCGTGTTGTACAGAAGAGTTAAGTGCTTTCTATGAGGAAGCTTCAAGTGTTGGTGATGAAAGCGACAGCTTTAAAAAGGTGATATTGTGGATAAACAACGTGAAAAGACAACGGTGGTGTGGTGGTACGTTTTCCAGTTTAATATTTGGCACACAACATACTGGTGCTGTGTACCATAAACTCTGCAAAATTGAACTGGAAATACTGTGAACTTATTTCATTGCAGAACATAGGTTTACAGAATGCAAGCACTTATAGTCATAAACACCAGCAATTAGGGTTTCAACTTTCAGTCAGAATAAATCAATCACTTCCCAATCACAATCAAATAAATCACTTCCCATATTGGTTAAAAGAGTATACAGCATTTTACTTTTCAGTATGCGACAAGTGACAAGTCTACCAGCAACGTCAAATCTGTTCTCTGGAATGAGATCAAAGCTAGCAACCAACTATACTTTAGGCATTTTCTAATATTACACCCTATGACAAAAAGTTCATCAATGATTTATTTATTAAAATTAGATTTCAGTTTACAGCCCATTCAATTTTTTCATGGTTTGAATCTGTTTAAGGCGGAGCTGGAGGAGAAGGTCGGTAAAATGTATATTTTGCGTGATCGTCTGTTAACAAAAGGTGCCATCGGTAAAGTTTGGCGACAGGGGGTCCTCTTTAGTAAATACTGCAGTGGGGCCGCTGTTAGTGTTGTCACCACAGTCCAAGGGCTGCCAAACTTGGCCAACTGGCTGGAGTCAGATTTTTAATTGGAGACAAGTCTGCACACACATGCACATGCATTTACATGTATGTAACAGTTTTATTACCTTGTAAATAGTCTGTAGAGTTTGGAAACTACACCAATGCATTTGATGCAGCTAATTTTAGGTTTATAATGGAACAGTACAGAATTGATCTATAATTTCTTGTATGAGCGTGACAGTCTGAAAGCATGAGTGTCACGCCAGAAGTGTGAGAACTGGCAACCCAGCACTGCTATAAAAGTCATGGACACCCAGTCATTGACCAAAAATACTGAACATAGCGACACCATTCCGAAGGTTTGTTTAGGTCTGTTTGATAGGGAAATTATAATCCTACATGGCAGTGTGATCTCAGATATTTTATGCTATATTAGTTACCCCATGCCCTATACCTTCAGTATTTACATTAAATAATAGTTTTGGAAATGTATTGTAACAAGTAGCCTATACTTGTATACTTAAGCCAAACAAAAACTACACAAATTTTAGTCTGCAATGATATTTATGCTAATACAATTTCCAT